CAGTATACAGTGCTCAATGCTCAATCCTATGCTCGGCCTCCCAATTAGCAGGTATGGGCACCAGCTCTAAGGATCCCCCGACCTCAGCAGCAAAATTTTCGGGCACCCTACAATGCTCGTCCCAGGCAAGATTATGGTCGAGAGCAGAGGCCGGCGGAAAAATTCACTCCATTGGCTGAATCATACTCTAGTCTATTCCAGAAGCTGAAGCAAATGGGCATGATTGGACCCATCGCTCCCCACAGTATGCATCTTGATTCACATGAATTTCAAGAAAATTCTAGATGTGAATATCATTCAGGTTCCCCGGGGCATAGCACTGATGACTGTTGGACTCTAAAAAGAGCCATAGAGATACTCATTTTTGAAAAACTGATTGTAGTGATGAATGGCGAGGACCCTCCTAATGTGACAAACAACCCGTTGCCAGCACATAATGATGTTCATTTTATGGGAATGATTGGCCAAGATCAAGAATACAAGCCGGTCGGTCGAGCAGAAATGACAGTGGGTGAAATTCAAGAAGGAAGGTCTAGAAGTAAGTCCAAGCCGAGATGTGTCGTTGATTGTGAAAGGCGCCCCGAGCTCAGAAAAGGTAACTTTATTTGTTCCCAAGGTCTCGAGGTTGGAAGTTTGCTCCAATGATCCAAGCCCAAGGTTGTATGTACATGGAGGCCACCCCGTCACAAGGCAGAATCAGGGAGGTACGTAAGGTATATCAGAGCCAATCATAATCAAACCTATCGTGCAACTCCCTGTGACAAACACGAAAACCACTCTTTGGAACTACAACAAAACTGTGATGACCTACAAAGGCAAGGAAATCATAGAGTAAGTGGGGGAAACTGGAGGTTTGACTCGATCGGGGAGATGTTACTCTCCAGAAGAGTTGAGGAAGGCCAAGAAAATCAGAGAAGGCCAACTGCCAATAAAGAAACCAGTCACTGAAGTAGAGGCTGAAGAGTTTTTGAAAAATATGAAAGTTCAGGATTACTCAATCATCGACCAGTTGAGAAAGACTCCTGCCCAAATCTCTCTACTATCTCTGCTCATACACTCCAAAGAGCATGCTCGTGTACTAATCAAGATCCTGAACGAGGCACATGTCTTAGAGGAGACCGCAGTAAATCAGTTAGAGAAGATGGCCAACATATTTTTCGAGGTGAACAGAATCTCCTTTACTGATGATGAACTTCCCGATGAGGGAGCCGAGCACAATAGGGCTTTGCACTTGATGGTCAAATATAAGGGGCATTATGTAAAGCGAGTCATGGTTGATGGAGACTCAAGTGTAGATGTATGCCCTCTCTCTACCTTGCAAAGCATGAAGATCACTACAGACAAATTCCGACCCAGCAATGTTCGCATCCGAGCTTTTGATGGCTCAGCGAGAGATACCATTGGGGAGATCAACCTCACCATGATGAATGGTCCGGTTGACTTTGAGATTGTCTTCCAAGTAGTGGACATGGTCACTTCTTATAACTTTCTTCTTGGAAGGCCATGGATTCATACGGCCCGAGTTGTGCCGTCCACCTTGCATCAGATGCTCAAATTTGAATATGATAGGTAAGAAATTATTGTTCACAGGGAAGATGAGTCTTCCATTTATAAAGACCCGTTAATCCCCTATATTGAGGCCAAGGAAGGGTGTGAGTCCATTGTCTATCAGGCTTGAAGTGGTTGATGTGGACTATGTTGAGGAAGGAAAGCCCATTCTGCATCCTCGTCTTTCCGCCACATCTATAATGGTGGCTGCACTTATGCTGAGACAAGGTTATGAGCCAGGAAAAGGCTTGGGGGCATCATTGCAAGGAATTTTGGAGCCCATTTCTCCATTCAATAACCAGGGTACTTTTGTTTTAGGCTTCAGGCCAACACAAGCAGACAAAGAAAGAGCCAAGCACCGCAAAAAGCATGGATGGGTCTTGCAACAACCTATCCCTCACATTTTCTACACTTTTGTCAAGCCACCACTCCAAGAGGGTCAAAATTCCTTAGCGCATGCAAACATTGATGAAATGTGCCATGGCCTCAGCCAGATGCTTTCTAAAGTGAATATGATCCAGGCTGGTGAAGGCACTAGTCGTTCCGATATGCAACTACTTGACCCAGAGACCATGCTCAACAACTGGGAAGCAACTCCTCTCCCCACAAGGAAGGAGTCTTTGTAGTTTGCTTTTGTAGCTTCTTTTTGTATTTTGGGTTACTTTTAGGGTTGTAATCCAAACATCCCAGTATGATTGTTTTGTTTTGATGTTAACCCATTTATCCTTTCAAATTCAATGAAATGCAGTTCGGTTTCGTATTAAGTTTTGTATCTTTTCCTTTTCCTAATTCCTGTCATTTTGTCTCCATTTCAGTTTTGTTAATGTCGGCTTTAATAACATGACATGCATGCGGAATTCACGCCCAAATCTTCAAAAAAACTGTCTAATATCGAAATAATGCATCAAGAGGTTGAATATGTTGAAGATGAGGTTGTTGAGGAAATAAAAAGAGAGTTGGAACAATTTGAAAATAAGCCTAAGCCCAACCTCAATGAAACTGAGCCGATTAATATCGGAAATCATGAAGAAGTTAGAGAAACGAAGATAAGCATTCACACTGAACAAAAAACTAGAGATGCCTTGATTCAACTTTTATTTGAATATAGAGATGTGTTTGCTTGGTCTTACGATGATATGCCGGGTTTAAGTGCTGATCTAGTGGTTCATAAGCTTCCTACGTATCCTGATTTTCCACCAGTCCAACAAAAGCAACAAAAATTTATAACAGACAAGAGTGACAAAATCAAAGAGGAAATAATGAAGCAACTGAGTGCCAATGTGGTTAGAGCTGTCCGATATACCACCTGGGTGGCGAATGTTGTGCATATGCCAAAGAAGGATGGAAAGACCAGAGCCTGTGTTGACTACAGGGACCTGAACAAAGCAAGTCCAAAGGATAATTTTCCTTTACCAAATATCCACATTCTTGTAGATAATTGCGCAAAGCATGAGATACAATCGTTCGTGGATTGCTATGCAGGGTACCACATTCTAATGGAGAGGATGATGCAAAAAAGACCACTTTCACCACTCCATGGGGTACTTATTGTTACAGGGTCATGCCATTCGGTTTAAAGAATGCAGGGGCAACTTACACGAGGGCCATGACCACCATTTTTCACGACATGATACACAAAGTGATTGAAGTATATGTCGATGATGTCATCATAAAATCAAAGACATAGGTTGATCACATGTGCGATTTCTTCGAACGGCTTTGAAGGTATGACCTTAAGCTTAATCCAGCCAACTGTGCATTTGGGGTTCCATCTGGGAAACTCCTCGGTTTATAGTCAGCCGGAGAGGTATCGAATTGGATCCATCTAAGATAAAGTCCATTCGAGATCTGCCACCCCCGAAGAACAAAAAGGAAATCATGAGTTTGCTCGGGAGGTTGAACTACATCAGTAGGTTCATTGCTCAGCTCACAACCACGTGCGAGCCCATCTTTAAGTTGCTAAAAAGGATGCCGCTATCAAGTGGACGGACGATTGCCAAAAAGCTTTTGGCAGGATCAAAGATTATCTGTCAAAATCCCATGTACTGGTCCCACCTGAACCTGGTAGGCCTTTGTTTTTATGTCTATTGGTGATGGATAATTCCTTTGAATGCGTTCTGGGGCAATATGATGCAACAAGCAAAAAGGAACAAGCACTCTATTATTTGAGCAAGAAGTTCACCAATTATGAGGTTAAGTACACCCTTTTAGAAAGGACATGTTGTGCCTTGACTTGGGTCACTCAGAAGTTGAGACATTATCTTTTGGCCTACACTACTTACCTCATATCCAGAATGGATCCTTTGAAGTACATCTTCCAAAAGCCAATGCCCACTGGCATGCTCGCAAAATGGCAAATCCTGCTCACAAAGTTCGACATCATCTATATCACTCGCACCGTGATGAAAGCACAGGCTTTGGCAGATCATTTGGCAGAGAATCTAGTTGATGATGAGTACAGGCCACTTAGCACATACATCCTAGACGAAGAGGTCAACTCAATAGAGGAAGTAGATCCAGACGATAACCTGTATGGAAAATGTATTTTGATGGGGAAGTCAATATCAAAGGAGTTGGGATGGGGGTAATCCTCATCTCACCTATTGGACATCATTACCATGCAATAGCCCGACTTCGGTTCTTCTGTACCAATAATACGGTAGAATACGAAGCTTGTATCATGGGTCTGAAAATGGCAATCGATCTGGATGTGCATGAACTATTGGTTATGGGAGATTCCGACTTGCTTATCCGGCAAGCCCAAGGCGAATGGGAGACTCGAGACATCAAGCTTATTCTGTACAGACAATGTGTGCAAGACTTGAGCAAAAGATTCAAATCCATCGAGTTCAGGTACATTCCCAGGTTTCACAACGAGCTAGCCGATGCCTTGGCTACTTTAGCCTCGATGCTCCCTTATCCAGGCAACACTCATATTGATCCACTAGAAATCCAAGTTTAGAATCAACACGGTTACTGCAATACATTTGAGATAGAACCAGATGGTGAACCATGGTAACATCACATAAAATGATTCCTAAAAACAAGAGAATACCCATCACATAAAATGATTCCTAAAAACAAGAGAATACCCAGAGCATGCCAAAGGAGATCAAAAAAGAACTATAAGGCGGCTTGCCAGTGGTTTCTTCCTGAATGGGGAAAATTTGTACAAGAGGACCCTAGATTTAAACTTTTTGAGATGCATAGATGCCACAGAAGCTGAGCGGATCATGAGTGAAGTACATTCGGGGGTATGCGGACCTCACATGAATGGATATGTTTTGGCGAAGAAGATTCTGCGAGCAGGGTATTATTGGCTTACTATGGAGAGAGATTGCTTCAGTTTTGTTCGCAAGTGTCACCAATGCCAGATTCATGGTGACCTAATTCACTCGCCTCCTTCGGAATTGCATCCCACTTCCTCTCCTTGGCCTTTCGTTGCTTGAGGAATGGATGTTATTGGGCCAATCGAGCAAAAGGCTTCAAATGGGCCTAGATTCATTTTGGTTGCAATTGATTACTTCACCAAGTGGGTGGAGGCCGTCATTTTCAAATCAGTCACCAAGAAAGCACTGGTAGACTTTGTTCATTCCAACATCATCTGTCATTTTGGTATCCCGAAGACCATTATCACTGACAACGCAGCTAATCTAAATAGTCATTTATTGAAGGAGGTATGCGAGCAATTTAAAATTATGCATCGCCATTCTACCCCTTACCGACCAAAAGCCAATGGAGCTGTTGAAGCGGCAAACAAGAACATCAAGAAGATTCTTAGGAAGATGATCCAAGGTTCCAGACAATGCCATGAAAAGTTGCCTTTTGCTCTTATGGGATACCGTATGACTGTTCGCACATCTATTGGTGCAACTCCGTATCTGCTTGTATATGGAACTGAAGCTGTAATACCCACTACAGTCGAAATTCCCTCACTCTGAATTATTGTGGAATCAGAGATTGAAAACACTGAGTGGGTCAAGACCCGATTAGAACAACTGATGTTGAACGATGAAACACGGTTAGCAACAGTATGTTTCGGCCAGTTATACCAGCAAAGAATGGCACGCGCTTACAATAAGAAGGTGCGCCTAAGGCAGTTTGAGGTAGGCCAGCTCGTTCTAAAATGCATTCTTCCACACCAAGTAAAAGCTAAAGGAAAGTTCGCCCCAAACTGGCAAGGACCCTACATCATCAAGAAAGTGTTACCAAAAGGGGTCTTGCACTTGGTAGAAGAAGAAGGACGGGTACCAGACATGATTATTAACGCAGATGCAGTCAAAAGATACTATGTCTAATATATACCCTTTGTGGAACTTTCATGCATGATTTTCTCTAATCGAGATGACAAAGGCTATCATTGCTCGCTATTCCAAACAGGTGTTACCCTTTTGTTAGCCCTTTTGAGCCGTATTTATCTTCTTTGGTTTCCACTTTCTGGAACCTGTGTACTTGTAAAAGCAAAAAAAAAGTAAAATAAAAATAAAAATAAAAATAAAAGAAGGAAAAAAAAAGTCAAAAAACAAACCCTCTGAGTCATTGAACTACGTCCGACCTGATTCCGAAAGGATACGTAGGTAGCCTTACACTGGGTTCGGTCCCATCACAAGAAAAAATCCATTTTCCTAATACTCCAAAACTGGGGTAGAAGTTTGTTTTATTTAACGGTTTTTCCTATAAAAACGGTTCCAAAAGTTGTAATTCAGTTCAGGTTCTTTTCGCCTTTTCCCTGTTAGGAACTTTTGATCGATCTTTGAGAATGTTTGAAGTCCCCATGCCAAGGGCATTGGGAAACCTCTAGCATACAGTATCTTAGTCAAAAAAAAGAGAAATGAGGGAGTCTTATCGGTGAAAATCCGTACGGGCACTATAAGGTGACAGTGAGCAGAGAAATGAGAGAGTCTTATTGGTGAAAACCCAGATGGGCACCACAAGGCTACGGTTAGTAGATAAATGAGAGAGGTTAGTTAGCAAAAACCTGTAAAGGGCGCTACTAGCCGAATGAGGGTATTCGATTCTCCGGCATGACCACAACCAAGACAATTTCAAGATAAACATTTGCGACGGATTTTGAGAATTAGACAGCTTAGATAGATCAGGTGTCTAGTCCAAAATGCATGTCATGATTCATTGAAGTTGTCACATACCTCCAGATAAGTCTCCCTATTCCTTTCCCCGAAAGGGACACCTTTTGTTTAAGCATAGTTCTTTTTCACTTTCAATTATTATTCTGTTTTTACCCATAATTTTTGTTTGAGTCCCTTTCAGTCTAATCCTGCATCAAAAGTGAAGCAAAGAAATGGGTGCAAAACTGGCTATAGTTTTCCCGTAATATTGAGCACAATTTGTGGCATATATAACATTGATGAAGGCACGAATCCATCTGAGATCTCATTTGATAAGGCGACAAAAGTGTTTCAAAGAAACTGAAAAGGTCGCATAAGCAAGACTTGCTTCATGAGAAAAGTTGATAAGCACTACGGACACAAAAACATACTAGGTGCAAGACAACTGAGTTTGATTTTAAAGAAAAGTTACCTTGCCTTAGACACAAGGGTATCGGTACCATAGACATCTGGGTATGAAACAATTGGGGGGAACATTGGAAAGCCAAGGTCTCTAGAAAATGATACAGAGTAGCCGAGCATCTCGGTACCATGCTGACAGAGTTGGTTCTTCGATAGCAGTGGCCATGAATCAAACTACTCGGGGCATCAAGGCCACAAACCAACCACTACTTTGAAAACTCACAAATTTTCTTTGTTTGAAGCAGGAACAAAGTAGTGCAGAATGACGATTCTTAAAGAACTAATGTCACCAAACATAAGCTCCTTAAGATCTCATTTTTCTTTATTTTCAGCATGCATCACTACTGTTCACACCTCCCGTCTTTGTAGCTTAACTCAGGTAGAACCTTTTCGCCTAGAGGGATCCAGCTCATAGTACCGGGTAGAAGTACTCTTCGCTCAGGGTGTTTTATGTAGCTTAACTCAGGTAGAACCTTTTCGCCTAGGGGGATTCAGCTCATAGTTCCGAGTAGAAGTACTCTTCGCTAAGGGTGTTTTACGCAGCTTAACCCAGGTAGAACCGTTTCGCCTAGGGGGATCCAACTCATAGTTCCGGGTAGAAGTACTCTTCGCTCAGGCAATTTTACATAGCTTAACTCAGGTAGAACCTTTTCACCTAGGGGGATCCAGCTCATAGTTTCGGGTAGAAGTACTCTTCGCTCAGGCAGTTTTACGCAGCTTAACTCAGGTAGAACCTTTTCACCTAGAGGGATCCAGCTCATAGTTCTGGGTAGAAGTGCTCTTCGTTCAGGATGTTTTACGTAGCTTAACTCAGGTAGAACCGTTTTGCCTAGGGGGATCTAGCTCATAGTTTCGGGTAGAAGTACTCTTCGCTCAGGCAGTTTTACGTAGCTTAAATCAGGTAGAATTGTTTCGCCTAGGGGGATCCAGCTCATATTACCGGGTAGAAGTGCTCTTCGCTCAGGGTGGTTTATGTAGCTTAACTCAGGTAGAACCTTTTCGCCTAGGGGGATCCAGCTCATAGATCCGAGTAAAAGTACTCTTCGCTCAGGGTATTTTACGCAGCTTAACTCAGGTAGAACCGTTTCGCCTAGGGGGATCCAACTCATAGTCCGGGTAGAAGTACTCTTTGCTCAGGTAATTTTACGTAGCGTAACTCAGGTAGAACCTTTTCACCTAGAGAGATCCAGCTCATAGTTCCGGGTAGAAGTGTTATTCACTCAGGATGTTTTACGTAGCTTAACTCAGGTAGAACCGTTTCGCCTAAGGGGATCCAGCTCATATTTTCGGGTAGAAATACTCTTCGTGTAGGTTGTTTTATGTAGCTTAACTCAGGTAGAATCCTTTCGCCTAGAGGGATCCAGCTCATAGTTCCGGGTAGAAGTAATCTTCGCTCAGGTTGTTTAATATAGCTTAACTCAGGAAGAACCGTTTCGCCTAGGGGGATCCAGCACATAGTTCCGGTTAGAAGTACTCTTCGCTCGAGTTGTTTTACGTAGTTTAACTCAGGTAGAACCTTTTCGCCTAGAGAGATTCGACATTTTATCCATAATATAGGGCGCCAACCACTGGTTATATTTTCTTTAAGTAATACAGGGTACCAACCCCTGGTTACATCCCTTCCTAGTGATACATGATACCAACCGATAATTACAATCCTTTTCGATGATACAGGGTGCCAACCCCTAGTAACGTTTCCTTTTAGTAATATAGGATACTATGCTCTAATTCCATTTTCTTTGGTAACACAAGGTACTACCCCGTAGTTGCACATCCTCACATAGTTAGTTTATACTACTGTCTTTGTCATTATTTTCAGTAAATTAGACAGTTTATAGCTTTCTCTAATAACTCACAAAATTTTCCCAGTGCCAGACTGGGGCGGAAAAAGAATTTATTCGTTTTGTTCTTCTTTGATGGTTTTGCAGGCTCCGCCCTATAGCACAAGTGACGATTAAAGCTTGCAGTTTCAGTTTCCCATCAGAAGAAAGAAGTCTTTTGATCACAAGATAGTTGGAGTTAGCTTTGATAATATGTCAGCTTTGATAGCTGGAGCAGCTGTTGGACAGTAGTTGGAGGGCTTCCTTCAGTTCACCCGGAGACCCAAGGTAGACCTGCAGGCGTCCGCAGGCCCTGGTGTCTCCCTCTATCTCTATTTCATGTTTCCTTCTCTTTTATTCAAAAACAGTGTACTGTTATTCTTCAGACCTTGTGTAGTAATCCTAGATAGCCTGTGACACTGTGACACCAGATTTTGGGTATTTGAGGTTTTAGAAGTTGTAATAGACGTTGATTCCAGACATTTTATTGTTACCTTCCGCTTAATTATTTAAAGTTCCGCTGATTTCATGTTATCGCTTATATTTGTTAAAAAGAAGTAATTTGTTAACGAAGTAAGTAGTTAAGTTTTGGCTTGCCTAGCTCCCAATAGTAGGCGCCATCACGACTCCCGAGGGAGGGAAATCCGGGTCGTGACAAGTTGGTATCAGAGCTCTAGGTTACATGTGTCTCACAGTTCACAGACAAGCTTAGTAGAGTCTGAGGGATTGGTACGGAGACGTCTGTATTTATCCCCCAAAGGCTACCGAGTTAGGAAAAACTTCACATTTGTTTTTTCTTGCCGTGCGGTTTGGTTTCTCAATACTAATCGAATTTCTACTCTATTCTTTCGCAGATGGCGAGAACACACGCTTCCTCATCTACCGATCAACAGCCCTAACCCCCAACAGCAGCTCCCACGAGGGGCAGAGGGCGAGGCCAAGGCTGTGCTAGAGGCCGAAGTAGGGGCAGGGCTCAGCCCCGAGCAGCAACACCAGCAGCGGATCCTCAAGTTGACTTTGATGATGAGGTTCTAGCTCCAGCAGTTTCGGTGGGTCCAGCTCAGGTCCCAGAGGGGTTTATTGCCACCCCAGTTCTTCAGGATGCTCTGGTCTGTCTAGTGGGCCTCATGGAGAGTGTCACCAGGGCAGGTTTACTTCCTGTAGCACCAGCCATCTCTCAGGCTGGAGGAGGAGCCCAGATTCCTGCTACTCGCACTCCGAAGCAGGTAGCTCCCCAGTTTCAGACTCCAGGAGCTCAGCCAGTTGGAGCGGTTCAGTCGGGTGTGGTAGCTCAGACCGACGATGGTGCAGCCATGTCTACCGATGCTTTGTGGATATTGGACAGGTTTACCAAGCTCTTCACTACTACCTTCAGCGGTGCATCTACTGAGGATCCCCAGGATTATCTGGACAATTGTCACGAGGTTCTTCGGAACATTGGGATTGTTGAGACCAATGGAGTTGATTTTGCTACATTTCGCTTGTCTGGATCCGCCAAGACTTGGCGGAGGGATTATTGCTTAACTAGACCAGCAGGATCGCCAACCTTGACCTGGGAGCAGTTCACACAGCTATTTCTGTAGAAGTTTCTCC